ATTGATTTAGTATCACCCAACTAGTCGGACAGAAAAGGCAATAATGAAGTTAGCAAATGCAAGTTGAAGAAATATTTATTTGGGAATAAACGAAAGAAAGCGTCACGCTCGATTGCGCCAATTTCGCTAATCGAGGACTATTAGTAATAGTCCTCTAGTAGCGTAGCCAATTAAAATGCAGGATTTGCATTAGTCCACTAGTTAGGTGATACTAACCTCGGATATTCCCCAGTTTTAGCGGGGGAATATTCGGTCACGTGACGCGTTTAGACCAATCGCGCCCGAGCGAAAATATTTGATGGATTATAATTCACGATGGTGAAGAATTCGGTACATTAGGTCAGTCTCCTACTATTCCATCCAACTGGTTTGCTGACCACATGAGGTAAATGGTAAATACTCACGATGAACAGTCTATTGGAGAGGTAGCGTTTTGTTCGAAGTACTCTCCTTCGTGGACACATCCACACTCATTTTTCACCACGCACTTCTTGGTAAATTCGTTCCAATAGAGACCATCTTTGCAGTAGCAACCAGGCACGCTTGGTTGGTCACCAACCTCCAGAGCGGCACAGGTTTTCCCCGATGGAAGGTATTCCTGGTCTTCATCTGGACATAATTGGACGGCTGATGAATAATTAAACCCAATTGAAAGGATTAAACAAAATCATTACTTCTTAGCTATTGTAAATGCATCATACAGTGACGTCGCAAACAACGAATTTCATAGTAACTAAGCTTTCTTACTTGAGTCAACAACTGAGACATGTTCGAACCCCGGGGCATACTACTTAAAAGTCTCCAGTTGACCGAAAATTGGAAAATTCATTAAAGCTGAGGTTTTAATTCATTAATGCTTCAGAGGTTTTAAAAAAGCCGAGTAGAAAAACTCGACCAATGTTTTCCCAATACGGATCTCACTTTTGTTCAATGACGTTATGCAATGCAGCGGGAAGTTATCAAAAGACTCGTCAAAGAGGATCAATGGGGATGATCTAATTGAGTTTTCACGTGATTAAATAGTCTAAAATACAGTGGAACTGACCTTGCCCAACTTGGTCCGAGCACTGGGACTGGGGTACGCATTGGCCGTTCTTCAACACCATATTGTCATCTTTGCAGAAGCAACCTTCTATGCATCCTCGACTAAAATAAAGAGAACAGCTAAATTGAGTATACTCTTCTTATGATCCTTTTTAAGGTGGCTAAACGCAGGTGTTAATACCTGTGTTTCATTCACCTTTTTGTCTAAAACTCTCGATCCTTTGGTTGCCAAAAATGGCAGCAAGCAAGTTAACAACACAAACTTCGGTTTTTTGATAGCTAAGCTGACGCATGTGCCGTTGCCATGGCAACGTGAATAAATATAAAAAGGACCTTATGGAATGAACGGCTCCACGAAGTCCCTGTTTAAAGTTCACTACTCTTTGCTCTCAGCATTCATTTTAAAAACAATGGACGTTAGCCAGAATCCTGGTATAGCATTCTGACGATGGATCTTTTTTCCTCAAATAAGATTCTTGAAATTGACTCCAACCGTGCAATAGCATCGCGAAAACGGTCTTCAAGAGCCAACCTAAGCCTTTCAGCGTTGCAGCTTATATCCGCATCTTATTTCTCATCAAAAATAAGTATATGGCTATAAGCTGCAGGTTGGATACAGATTATTGATCATGTAAGTATACAAATACAAATATGTAGTTTCTGTAGCATGAAGCGACTAGGAGTATTTCTACTCCCCCCTGGATGGGATGCTAGTCCATCGCAGGGCTACCCCCAACATTAAGTTCGCCGGTAACCATTTATACACCTGGGTGGAGGGAGGCACTGTGAGAGTAAAGCGTCTCGCCCAAGAACGCAACGCAAAGATCACGGCCAGGGCTCGAACCCGGACCGCTCGATCCGGGGATGAGCGCACTAACCATGAGGCCACTGCGCCTCCCGGTACTCTAAGAGGAACTTGTATTGCGTTATGACAGCGAACTTTAACTTGTACCCTTATTGGTGCGATTGCTTGATTAGAAATGAATGGGCGCTTGAATAATTAAAGGACTTGTAAACTGGACGGCTTACCTTAGGCATGATTGTGGGTTTTGCACATCTCCGCATGTTTGAGGGCAAGTCAAACTTGCATTACCACAATAACTGTATTTTTGGTCGCTTGGGCATACGGCTATAAAAAGAAGCTTAAGATAGTCAATAAATCTAAATTTGAAGACGCATAACATATAAATACTAGGACACCGCCAATCAACAAATGGTCAGCAAAGACGGACGATTTGTTTAATCATCAGTGACCAAAGCCGGAAAGGTTAGCTTTGTGACTATAAAACTGAGGGGTTGAATTGTTTTCGAGATCTATGAGAGAGGGAACCCGTTCAAGTACAACTGTCTGACAAAAGCGTGAGAAGGACGTGCACTGTCCAACAACATCAGGCGTGACACGAAAAGCCGGTTAGCTGGGAAATTTTGCTATAGAGCGTTTTCATCCACTTTGGCGGCAGCCATTCAAATTTATTGGAAGAAACGAAAGTGATTCGCATAAGGAAAGTAACTAATCTGACAAATCACGATGTTCTACTCAAACTCGTGCAATAATTGTTAAAATGTGTGTTACATCTTATGAATGATTATCGTGGTAGCTTATCTAAACGCAACGTACGCAGTCGCGAAAATAATGCCTGAAAAAAAAAATCCAGCGATTTGAAGGCGATCCTGTGCATGTTTCCACTGAAGGCTTTATTCTTGCAACTGCTTTTACTTTTAGATGTGTCCATAACTACGTGGAAGATCTTTCATGTAGTAGAAAAATGGTTTATTGAAAGAAATTAAAATCATAAGTCTAGCTGTTCGCCCATAATCGACCCTAGTTGGTTCCCGCAGGTTGCGTAACTTTCGTGAACCATCCCCCAGTTAAAGGGAATCTTGACTAAAACAAATCAGTTTTGTTCCAAAGTTGATGTTTGCGTTTAACTGTTTCAGGGATTTGAAGTCGATTATTCTTTGTCTGCTTTGAATAATGGGCGTTTCGCTTCTGCTATTTCATCATCAGTCCTAATCTCGCCATCGGACGCATAAGGCCTTATTTAAGGATTTCAAATTTTCCACGCGCCGCCACGTTCATTTTTGCAAGGCTTGAGAAATCATGACGTCATTGCGCGGTTGGACGTTTTCCAAATATAGTATTCTGTGAATCCAGAGGTATAAAGTGATTCTAATCGTTTATGATTCATATTCCGAATGAGCGGATTTATAATTTATGTTCATAAAAACTCCACTTACGTTCTGGGCACCCCTCTATTCGTCCTCTCCAGTTGCTGACCGTGAATCCATTATCTCCACAAACCTTTGCGTATCCCGCTATTACGTCACACAAGCTTTCAGGATGTCTGCACCCAGTCTTTTTAGCTTTGTCGAAGAAAGAGCTTGGTGAGATTGATTGAAGACATTTTCCAAAAGGCCCGAGAGGATCTTTTAACACACTGGCTCGTTCTTCAGACTGCTGCAGTGGTTGAGAATAGATGGAGCAATAATCTATCGAATGTGTAGGTTCAGTTTCTCCAAGTCCACTTTCTCCCAATTCGCACGTTGGTTGATCGTCAAGCTGAGGATCGAGCCAGTTCTTCAGGAAGGTCTGGGCTGTTGCAGCAACACCGCCGTTGTACAGATGGTAATCGTCCATGCTATTCCTGTTGAACGTACCACACAAACCGCATGTTTTATTCATCATCCCTGGATTGACAGTCAAGTAAATGTTTTGCCCAGAGACAATCAATTGAAATTGAGGAGTAGACACCATCGCAACATTGCCTCCATCATGTTCAACAACTATTTGGTCACCCAAGATGGCAGCGTCGTATGTCAACACAGGCTTCGCATTCATTGTTCTTTCGATGTCGATAGTTTTCCCTGCTTGCAAAGTGAGATAGACGTTTTGGCTCTTGCAATACCGGGTGAAGTCGTTAAGAGTACAATCTTTGTTTTCGATTCTCAAGTCAAACTGAAATGACGAAGCGTGACAGTGGCGTAGCAAAGAATAAGCACAAGGCTTCGGGTACACCTCGTATTCTTTGCCATCGAATGTCTTCACATTCGTGTTCGCAAGAACAGAACAGGTTCCTGTAGAAAATAAAGTTGAGTATCAGTTTTTATTAAACCTTGCTCAAAGGTAGGTCTTATTAGAAGAGGGCGACACAAGAAATCTCAAATTTACTGTACATGGGCCATTATTTAATTGTTCTTTTGATATTATTTTTCTGTTATTATTATTCCAATTATAATTATTATTATTATTATAATTATTATTATTATTATTCATCTAGTTATTTATTAATTTAATTTTATTCATTTGAACTTTGACTTTTTTCAACTCTGAAATATCTTTAAACTTTTTCACTTTTTTAATTCTTACTTTTGTACATAAATTTACCATAAACATGTACATTTTCCTCTTTTGCATAGTGTACTCTTTTTCTAAAGTATTTTTAATCTCATAGATTTTGTTATTGTCTTATTATATGGCAAGGTAGTCGTGAGGTAAATCCGAGCCCTCTGATTGGTTCTTTCTCGGTCAGGATTTTGCAATACAGACAGTTTTCTCGGTCTTAAGTCGTGTATTTTTCTCTTTGATTGCCATATAATATACGACTTACTAACCTAGCTTGCTCGAGCCGTACGAGGGAATATTGGACCTCGATCGTTTTTGTACGGACTTCGCTACGCTCGCCACGTTCCATCCGCTGTTCTTACTACTGCTCCTATCACTGCTGTTCCTACTGCTGTTGCCCCTACTACTGCTACTTCTATTGCAACTTACACTTCTGCTATTACTACTCTATTACTACTCTGGACAATACTTCTTCTGTTTCCAAAGTGGCATCAAAGATTAAGTTACCTCACCCGAAGTTTCTCCAAATTTGTTCCAAAGGTTTTTACAAAGTTGAAAAGAGAACGACTGTAGCAGAAAACTCCCCTTGTCACCAAACTACACTCAACAATCTCCCAATTAACTGGAAGAAATTTTGCTGTTCGACAAGCTGTTGCAAAAATAGGCTCAAAATGTGTTCAAGAATTTGACATCTTGAGCATTTAGGGTCATTTTATACTTACAAATCAAAATGCATTTTATTTAAAGGTATTAGAAGTTTTCATTCTCCGTAACCGCCAATCGTCAGATCATTTTGCCGTTATCTTTCCTACCCATGTCAGCAGCGTATATTTATTTATTATGTATGTATGTATGTATTTATTTATTTATTTATTTATTTATTTATTTATTTATTTATTTATTTACAGCATTTAGGGATTCAACTTACCTTTACATGGAATATTGTGGCATGACCAGGTTCCCCCTTTGCATTCACTA